AACTTAATGTGACACAAGGTAACTTTCTCTTCATGGGTTTTGTTCAACTGGATGACAACTTAATGTGACACAAGTTAACTTTCTCTTCTTGCTTCCTGTTCAACTTGATGACAACTTAATGTGACACAAGGTAACTTTCTCTACATGCTTCCTGTTCAACTTGATGACAACTTAATGTGACACAAGGTAACTTTCTCTACATGCTTCCTGTTCAACTTGATGACAACTTAATGTGACACAAGCTAACTTTCTCTTCATGTTTCCTGTTCAACTTGATGACAACTTAATGTGACACAAGCTAACTTTCTCTTCATGTTTCCTGTTCAACTTGATGACAACTTAATGTGACACAAGCTAACTTTCTCTTCATGTTTCCTGTTCAACTTGATGACAACTTAATGTAACACAAGGTAACTTTCTCTACGTGCTTCCTGTTCAACTTGATGATAACTTAATGTGACACAAGCTTAACTTTCTCTTCGTGTTTCCTGTTCAACTTGATGACAACTTAATGTACGTCTTTTTGAGTTAAGATTTTCTGTCTTCCCTCTCGTGGTTTGAATCCTTCTATCGGTATGTATAGGGGATTAAGGATTTATGAAACTTTTGTATATTTACATGGAGTTATTTTAACTTTTAATACTTAAAAAATGAGAATAATATTTTTTAACGTATGAATTTATATCGTGATATGATATTATAAGAAATTTATTTGACTTTATTATGTGTAGTAAACTATTCACCAATATATATGTCGAACAAAACGCTTAACTATAAACAGCTCGAGTTGACAACATGAACTAATCAAGTCAAGAGGACCTGGTTAAAGTAAAAAAATACCGTGTAATGATGGCAAGTTAGGTAAGAATCATCAGCCATAATAAATACAACCAAAGCCTAGTGTTACTTATTACAGTCAGAATCAAATTTTGAACGACACATCAAAACTGAAACCTACTAGATAGAATACAACACATGACTTTAGTGTTAAGCATCTGCGTCACAATACCTACAGCTTAGATATATATATTGCTGTCTAGGTTTTAGGGTAGTTTAGAATAGATAAGTATATGGAGATGAATAAATAGATAGTCGGTGGATTTTTTTAGTATTACTAGCCATAAAACAATCCGGCCTGTGACTAATGTGAGCGCGCAGCTTTTATGATCCGGTTGCTCAAGAAGTATATCCAAGAAAGTCCGTTAATAATCTTTGTAGAATTCTAGTCATTAGATAATCGTAACGTTCCGGACGTGAATGTATAGACGAGCTTTAGTTTTTTGTCCAGCTACGTTCTGTCTATTTATTTTTAATTCACTCGGAGAGAGAGATAATACTGTGATTGGATTTTATGAGAAATGTATTGATTTATTATTTTATACTTCGTAAAATAATGTTTCTTATTCGAAAAAAACGTTTATGTTTTACTAAACCTAACCATGTAGAATGGTTGAAATTGTTTTAACATTCCATCTCTGATCGAAACCTAAATCTAATGTGTTAATCATTATGTTACTTTCACCCTTGATTTAGGTATTTTTAATGCTTAGGAGCTATTAGTGTATGTATGTACATATAATGTTCTTTAAACATTCCATATTGTTTTCATTCCAAAAGATTTTATATACGTCTACAATCAGTTTGGGTGTGATTTTTTTTTGTATTGTAATTATATATAAAACATTTCATGTAGCGCCATCTTTGGGTAAGTTTAAGCATGCTATTTTATATTTGAATTATTAAGAGATTCATCATTACATTTTTGTAATAATGATAGTTTTATAGTTCCTGTCATTGAAAGTTCGGTTGTTAAATGTATACCTTTTATTACACTTGTGTATTCCACAACACTTATTACGTTAGATATTATTATAATAATAAAAGGCTGATGGTAAAATGTTTACAAAACGTTGATTGTACGATGTACTACTGTTGAAGTTTTCCTTTTAACCGCCTACGTTAAAGGTCCCAGAGGCTTCTGGTGCCATACATTTTATTTTTTAATCAACTTATGCACATTATAAGTTATTTCTGTTTTGGGTTATCACACTCACCTTTGTGTTGTAAACTAATTAATCATTTTTCGTGTTCAAACTATTTTAGTGTGTTTTTTGTATATGCCAACTGAAGCTCTTTTTCTTTGCCAGATATTAAACTGTCTTAAGGCATCGTGTAATAAAAATGTTAATGTTGAATCCCTTATAGCTAATGATTTGATCAGTTTCTCAATTAAAATTACACCTTTTTCCAAGAAGAAATCGTGTAGCTGAGAGTTTCCACTGTTGCCAAATCGTCCTTCCATCCACTTCTTAAGTGAAACATAACAGTTTTCTTTCCTTGTATTAAAATCCTTGAAGAGCCATTAAAGCTTCTGTTTAATGTTCAGTGTTTGTAGTTCTGTTTATTTTTCCTTCCAATTCTGGCATGGTTAGGACACTTACGGGTTCGTCTTTCAGCCCTTGGGGCGTTGTAATGTGACGATCAATACAAGAATTGGTTGGTGTTAAAGAGCTGCCTTTCCTCCAGTCGGTCCTTCAGAATTAGGGACGACTACTTCCGTTATCTCTTGAGTAGCAAACAAACCAACAATCTTTCTCATTCATCAGATTGTCTGCTGTGTTTGTTTGCTTCTCTCAAAGCTACTATGGCTATCTGGCAACGCCCCTAATTTTAAATTGTCAACCACAAGGAAAGCAACCATCCTTCAGTATCCACCACCATCAACTCTTGGGCTACTCTTTACTAACTAACAGTGGGCTTGATTGTCACTCTTGTAACAGCTGAACGTGCGGGCATGAATGATATACTTCTGACATAATTTTCATTCGTACGTGTTTTTAAAAACACTTAGAGCTTTACATCTACACATATAAGTTACGTATCTGTCTATCGATTTGTTTTTACAGCAGACAATCTGATGAATGAGAAAGATTGTTGGTTTGTTTGCTACTCAAGAG